CCATTCTCGATATCTGATTGATTAAATAACTTGTTTTTGAATAATCACGGCCAGCAACACTTTTTTGTCTCACACAACAATATTGTTTACCTTCATTTGATTATCGAGCCAAACACAGTGGAACATGGGGGGGAATAAATAATTGCTGTTATTATTGTTGATATGCTCACTTACCTAACATTTTCCACTTCTTTTTTTATATTCTCACCACATGGATTATTTGTTGCATTGCATACATATGGCACGGCATCCACATTTCGGATATAGTTTATTGAATTTGTGCCTGTAGTATCTGATGATGCATGTCAACACAAATTGTAACAAAGTAAAGTCATCGTCTGAGGTCTTCCTTGTATCTACTGATATTATTATAATAAAGGTAATATAATAATCTGTCAAGTAGGTGGTAACTTCACATATTTATTTCAGTTATTTATTTCGGTTGCAAAAAAAGTGACTTTGTTTGACTCGCAAATTTTGTTTCCGCTCAGCTTCGCTTCACGCTCCACCTCGCCAATGCAAAATTCGCTTGTCAAACAAAGTGTCACTTTTGATCCTAATAAAACAATCTACTATTCTCAGGATGTCAGTTCAGACGCATCGCATGAAGCAGTGTCTATTATTTCACATTTCTGTATATTTCAAGGTACGCCAAAAATCGATTCACATGCTCGCGAAAAAGTTTTGGAATACTACGAACAAATCATGTGGGGGGAAGTTGGAAACTATTTGGAGCATGTTATACTCTGGTGGGCTGCTTGTCCATTATCGGCAAGACCTCCGCATTCTAGTCAACATCTCAGAGAATGGATAGTCCAGTTCATACCTACTGGTGAGTATTCGTTTTTTTTTCTGATGTGTACAGAGAGTTATCCATCGAAAAGACCCACCCATATACAGGGTGTTCCTCAATGACATGCTAATATTCAGGGAGGCGATTCTTTGATCCATTTCAAGAATGAAACTTCATATGAACGTATGTCGTAAAATTCCTAGCTTTGGAAATACAGGCTATCAAGGTTGAACATATACTTAGATTCTTTGTTGTCCTCCCTGTATAGCTTTTTCCTGATGGCAAAATTTATTCTGCTATGTGATTGAAACGGTGCTAAAATTTCAAAATGTTAAACAGATGTCCCGAATGGATTATACAAGCCTAGCATTTACATCAAAATTTGAAGTTTGATCTCGTTTTTTCGTTTTTTCTCGAAAACGGAGGGTCCTATCGGGTATCAACAAGAGTATTATTTTTTTGTACAAAATTGAATGACTCTTTATAGCATTTTATTTAATTTGGAAATATACCTTCGTTGCTCACTTTTAAGTATAATATAATCAATCATATCCCCCTAACGACGACACTGGTAGATAAAAGGAAAATTTGTAGGCATCAAGATAATGTACCTTGATGCATAGAAGATATGTACCAAATGGCATAAAGATGTCTACAATATTATCTCAGTTATTATTAAAAAACTATTTTTTTTTTCAAAACTTCATCACCCTGTATCTCAAAAGTTAAGACTTTTAGGACATAAATTAGTGGAAAGTTTTTTTCTTGAAATGAGTTCAAAAACCACCCCCTTGAATATTAGCATGTCTTTAAGGAACACCCTGTATTTACCTTATTTTCTTATCGAGAAAAAACAATATGCGGAAGTTGAATGCGGCAATGACGCCATTCCACAGCCCTCATTAAAAGTTCCACAGGGTGATCCCTGAAAGCGTGACAAACCATAATTTTTTTTTTTAATGAAACACCCAATTTTTTTCGGAATCTGTAACTTTTTGTGATCACATAAATATATACATACATACAGTATATGATATCTTTTATTTTCACTTCATTATCGCCACTCTTTTGAGCCTAGAAAATAGTATATTATGTAACAAGTGTTATAAACGTCCTTTTAGTAACGAGTATTTTAAGCACGAGCGGAGCAGAGCGAGTGTTTAATAAACGAGTGTCTAGAAGAGTTCATAAACGCGTTACATACTATGCTTTTTCTACGAACTCCGAAAATTACATTAACATACCTGCTATTCCTGCTAACCTACAAAATCATTCGAAAGGAATGGGAATTGAAAACATAATACATACAACTGCATGCAACCAGCAAGACATGTATAATTGATATTGGTTGTAGATCTGTCCTGTCCATTACTTACGTTTATTGTCATGCTTAGCGCAGAATAAATAAATTGTTCTCAAAGATGGATGCTGCATTTTTACACTTCTTGGAGATATGCAAGTACCAGAATATTCTTTCGATTACTTTCAATTTCAATTTCGTCTACATTTCGCATATATTTTTAATTAAGAATTCTGATACAAACGAATATTGTTTGAATAATTCTGATACAAAATATGAAAATAACAGTTGACAGTTAATACAATTGACAGGCCAGACATGTCTCGAATTCCTGAAGCTGTGTTTAATGAACTGCGTTGCCATGGTAATGTGTTTAAGGAATCGTGTTGCCATGGTAACGTGTTTAATATTTTGAATAAATCACAGATCGACAATCCGTGATTAATAGATCATTTAGCGTGGTCCATATCCGTATGATAAATGCCATTTTAGTTATGTGAGTAGAAAAACAATTTTTGTGTGTTGGCTCCTACATACAGAGTGTATCTGAATAACACCGAAAAAATTCAAGGGATGATTCTTTGTGATATTTCAGGAAATAAAGTCCATATAAACATGTGTCCTAACTTGCTTCGTTTTCGAGATACAGGGTATTAATATTTCCACGAAAAATCGTTTTTTATTCAATACTCAGTTGTCTTTTCATTAGTTTCAATAAAACGTTGTGGTTTTGTTAATAGTAATATCAGGTTTCTTCTGGTGCAATTAGATTCGAAATAATATTTACAGTGGCGTCACAGTGGGTAAATTTATCGAAACTTATGGTGAATGTCATTGTACGCCACCGGTTTTTCGAGTTTCATATTTTTATTAGATTGAACTATTGAAATAACAAAATTATCAATCATAATTTCATAGCCAATTTCTGAATAATTGCACTACTCAAGTCACTGTGTATAATAATTCTTAGAATTTGAATGATATCAGGCATGATGGTGGTCAGGATCAGATCATCTGGCTACAGAGTCAGATAAATAACCAATGAAATCACTAAAAATTTAGTTTCATCTAGAAATAAAAAAAAAATGATACCTATCAAAAAATGACATAACAAATCAGACAAAGAACGAAACAGCAATTATTCCTAACAAGTTCAGATTTTTGTATTTTAGATTAAATCTCCTTAGTTCTCTATACACTTTTCATATCTTTTCGCACGTTATTTTCAACTCTCCTCCAATGTTTACAAATTGAGGCGATGAAATAGGGAAGAGTTTGCAGAGAGACACCACCAGAAGAACTGAGGAAAGTTGAAGAGAGAATGAAGGAGATTTGATCGAGAATACAAAAATCTGAACTTTTAGAAATAATTGGTGTTTTGTCCTTTGTCTAAATTTTGATGTTATTTTTTTATAGATATCATGTAGTTTTTATTTATTTCTTGATGGAAAATCAAAATTTTCAATGATTCATTAGTTATTCACGGTAATTTATCTCACTCTGTAGCCAGATGATCTAATCCTGACTTCCATTATGCCTGATATCATTAATTTTCTAAGAATTATTATTATTATTATAAAAGTGCAATTATTCGAACATTGTAACGTTGATAACAAACACCACGTATGGGATATTGATGTGAAAATCTATATAGCAGTATTTGAATCGATTGTCTACCCCAATTTTTGAGTAAAAAGATGCCTAATCCGTTTTCTTCATTTTTGCTGGAGTTTTTGTGATCGCAGTAGGCTATGAAATTGTAATTGATGATTCTTGTTTACTCGAAGAAGTAGTAGTAATTTTGAGTAGTATGCTGTGAGAAAAAAAATACAAATTGCCCTAAGAATACGAAAGTACAGGGCTGGGATGGACCAAATTGTATCACATCTTATTTGCCGACGGTGGAAATTAATTTCTCCATATTTGACATGCACCGATATCAGATGACGATCTCGCACTAAAACACCTATTTCCCGACAGCCGAGATCCCCCCCGTGATCTTGTCCACCCTAGCGACGCTAGCCGACGCCCTAGGCGTCCACGTGACGTCGACCTCGTAAGACCGAAATTTCCGCAGAGCCCTCGTAGCCTCCCGAAATTTTTGTTTGCTCGAAGAAGTAGATAATTTTGGAGTAGTATACTGTGAGAAAAAAATCCAAATCGCCCTAGGAATACGAAAGTACAGGGCTGGGATGGACCAAATTGTATCACATCTTATTTGCCGACGGTGGAAATTAATTTTTCCATATTTGACATGCCGCGTTATCAGATGACGGTCTCGCACTAAAACACCTATTTCCCGACAGCCGAGATCCCCCCCGTGATCCTGTCCACCCTAGCGTCGCTAGCCGACGCCCTAGGCGTCCACGTGACATCGACGTCGTGGGACCGAAACTTCCGCAGAGCCCTCGTAGCTTCCCGAACGGCCTGCCACGCCGAAACCGGGTCGCTGTTCGCCGCCTCGATTCGGGATCTGGTGACGCTGGCCAATCAGAGCGAGAGTACGCCCGACTGGATAGTGGGAGCGCCGTTGGAGGAGCTGCCATTGGTGGAGCAGATTCCTGTGCTGCATCGACTAGGTTAGTGACTATAGCAATATTCTTTTCACCAACTTTGACTGAGATTAACCAAGATTCTCAATGCAGCTATTTTAGAATCATGTCTCTATGTGTTTAATAACAAAGACAATTTTAATACTAATAGTTCTCGCCATGGAGTTAATAAGATGATTTTCACATCTCTTTTAGTAAGATGAATATAACTCGACAGTCGCCTAATATCATGGCACTCAGATTTTATAACGCTCTACCTGCCGAAATTAAACAATGTTGGACATTAACTTCTTTCAAAGTATCCGTGAAACAACTATTACAAACAAAATGTTTTTATTCGGTGGAAGAATATCTTTCCCAAAAATTTTAATAATAAGGTCATGCGTGTATGTCTGCTATCTATTTAATCACACTTATGTGTTATGTGTTAGTTTCCTCTTTGTCTATTTTGTATTCTACTTACATGTACCCCTTTAACTATCCCTATACAATTTAGTAATTATCGACTGGAAAATTGAATAAATGAAATGAAATGCTCAATAGCTCGGTTGTATTACATGTTCCATTTATCTTAGTCTGATGTGAGTTGTCTTAAAAACTTATTGAGACTATTTCTTTCCCCTCACCCCAACTGAACTTGCTATTCATCTGGTGTTGTAGAGTGAGAAAAAGGTGAGACTGAATTAATTCTAGTAATTCTGTGGTTCTGTGATGAAAATTGAGAGGTTATATTTTGACATGCTTTCAGCTTCGAAGTTTCAGTCCACAGGTTAAATATTTTGGATACTCACTACAATAATATTTCAATGCTCCTCATCAATTCATCTATTTATCGATGCCATAATGGTATACAGTTTTTGAAACAGTATTACAAAATTCTGTAACTACATTTTCACCATTTATGATGTTTTATAATTCATGTATTAGTATTATTGAGAATAAGGCATCATATGTATACTTTTTTGCATCATGTACAAGAAAACAATAGGAATATTTCCTAATGAAAAGTTATGTGAAATGTGAAGTGAATTTTAGATCATTCCATATACACGACCAGACTCTGGGCGATACACGAGAGCAAAACAATCGCTAACAGTTGGAATGTCAAAGCATTCTTTGCTGTTACCCATGGGGATATCGTCAACTGTTTGAATCAGCTGGACAACCTGAAACTGGCAGATCATACAGCCGAAATCGAAAAGGGCAATTTGGGTGTGCACGTACAAGTATGTTCATTGATGAGAGCTAAACTTGTATCTGAAATAAGAGCCAATTTACAAAAACTGAAGGTAGGTACGCAGGATTTTTTTCTCATATACCGGGTGGCTACGGAAGTATTGCCTACGGAATATCTCAGTTATTGTATGAAGTAGGTTTGTGAAATTTGGAGCGTCGATATAATGACGTAAGAGCTAGAATTTGAGCATATTGACATGTCGAAGTTAACTTCCGGTCTGACCGGAAGTAACATCGACTTTCTTATTTTAAATGGAAACCCTATTTTTTTTCTTTTCGCTTGATTCAGCATTCCATTTTCTTTTCTAATGACATATTACAAGTTGGTATCTAACCAGAAACTAGATCAGAAAAAAATTATTATTAAAATATAAATCTGTTTTTTTGTTATTTGAAGAATAATAATTGGATTTTTTGGTATTTCATTTCAAAAAATGACTTTCTATTATATCATTAGAAAGGAATGGTTATGCTGAATAGTACAGGCAAGAAAAAGTTGTATGTTCCTATTTAAGTTATGGACCTACAGAGTATTGTTTTTTCCCCAATTTTTCCAATATTTTTTTTGGCGGCTTTTTATAACGCCGACGAATGAAAATAAAATATCACAGTAGTAGCAACTGTTATCAAGTGACGTATGGTTTCCATAGCCAACTTTTCAATTTTTGGCTTTCATTTTGCTTCCACGGCCTACTAGGTGAATTTCAATAATAATTTTTTTCTGATCTAGTTTCTGGTTAGATACTAACTTGTGATATGTCATTAAAAAGGAAATTGAATGCTGAATAAAGCGAAAAGAAAAAAAAATGGATTTCCATTTAAAATAAGAAAGTTGATGTTACTTCCGGTCAGACCGGAAGTTAACTTCAACATGTCAATTTGCTCAAATTCTAGCTCTTATGTCATTATATCGATGTTCCAAATTTCACAAACCTACTTCATACAATAACTGAGATATTCCGTAGGCAATACTTCCGTAGCCACCCGGTATATGAAACTAACAACCGTTTTGGCACAATTAAATGAAAATATCTATTATTTCATAAATATTAATCAACTAACCAAGCATCATAGAAAGTGGCTTTTCTCTGACACTCAACAGACAGGAAAAGTATACTTTCTCTGCCTAGGCAAAATAGTTTGTTGGTAAGCAACGTTGCAAGTTATTTGAATAAAATTGGTAATCAAAATGACACTAACATTGTGTGAACACAAAATGATGAAGTATTCAATAAAAAAAAATACACAAATTAGTTTTATAACATTTGGAGCAAAAATTATGTTTCACTCGGCAGTCAATCTTTTACTTTGCTCCCTAGTAAAACGAATAACTATTTTATCACCAACACGTATTTTTCAACTCTAACGTTTAGCGAAAAAATGGTTTGTGCCAGCTCAACCTCAAGCACAATCATTTCATATATTTTCACTCAAATAAGTTATATGGAGATGATTCTAACCCTAAAATGTTTAACGTTTCAATAACTCTCGAACAGTAATAATTTTTATTTGAGCATATTTGAAGGTGGGTCCAATACCTAAAAATCTTGAAAATTACTATTTTTGTTATAGAATGACCGCCAAGATCCCCAGACTTGACACCTCTTGACCATTTTCTGTGGGGTCATTTGAAAGCAATGGTTACTAGAATTCCGCCAGAACATATTGATGACCTCAAACTATGAAGTTTTTCAAAATGTTGACAAATCAATGATAAAACGTCACAAAAAGTTTGTGGAGATCTCTAAAATAGACTTTCCCTACTATTGAGTACAGAGTATTGGAGCAAATTTTGAATAATTGCTTCAAAAACCTCATCGAAAAATAGTTTTCCTATTTTTTCCGAAAATCATGAATGTGAATTGATATGCTAGTAATCAAATTTGTTGAATGTTGCTAAAATAATAGAATCACTAAGAGAAATTTTCAAAATGTTTAGACAACTGATCCCTCAAATTTTCTCAAATCAGGCAATCCAATGATCTGTCATATTGGAACATAATAAAATCAATTATGTGTGATAAATCGTTTTTATACGCGAATTACTGTTGGTATCAGAAACACAAGTCATATAATCACAGAATATCACAAACAGTAACTATTCAATTGTTCTAGTGAAACCATTTTATTGATTTTATATACGGTGCTGCGGCGAAACTCTCTTAATCTCAGAGGGTAGTTTATATGGGTCCACACTGTATATGTGGTTTCTGGGTAAGAAAAACTCGCTAAGTCGGACAGACCAAGTTTTAATTCCACCCGATCTTAGCATGCGTCTAAAAACTGACAGAGAAAACCAAATACAACCTTATTTTCCACGATATGATCCGAATACAATTGACAAATGTTTGGTACTTTGTACATCACCCTTTATGTTATATCTAGGTCAAGTAGTTAAGACACCATGTATGTCCAGTACTTTACCTGTATGATCCTGTATAATGGTAGTTGCTAGTGGTATTACCCTATATAGGATAGGATTTCATTTGTTGTTATCATGACGACGTGTTGTTGAAACATAAGATTGAATCAATAAAGTTGGGAGAGAAATTGCAATCGGTTGCAATTTCCCTTTTATTCTTCATATCATATCAGTTTTTATTCAACGATCGAAATACAGTCCACACTCATCACCAAGAGCATCGAACATATTGGTCCTTCGAGCCGGATTCAAGAGTTCAACAGAATTCATCATCAGCGAGAGTCGTCATTCGAGAAGGCAACATCGAGTCAATCGAAAGGCGCAAGAAGCAACAAGTTCCAGACGACGGTTGATGTAAGCAGCTGGCCAAGCATCCAGACCTGTGATACAGACACAGAGCAGACAACCGTGAGCAGCTGGTACAACAGAACATCAGGATATCGTTCCACAACAGCAAGGTCAGGTAGAATTTTGTATTGTTCTCTATTCCGGGTCAGTACGCAGTGCAATTCAACATAAGAGGTACAGTTAATAAAATACTCATTGGTTTTATTATTATTACTTACTTTCGAATACAGAACTACCTTCCATATTCCAAATAAATCAATTTTCAATTAATATTCATTATTAATCGAATAACTTGTCACAATGACAGACTTAGAAGATTTAATCATAAAATACAAGGCGATTAAAGTCCAATTAGCAAGATTTGCGAATTTCGTCGAAAATTTTACATTTGAAGAGCAGAATAACATCTTTGAATTGGAAATTCGTGTTGAGAAAATTGAAAACTCATTAAATGACTTAACGTTTTTGCATACCAGTATTCAGTTAATAGATGATACGAAAGTTTCTGACGAACAGTTTTCAGTTTTTGAAACATCTTTTTATAAATGCCTAGGTACGTCCAAACGACTAATAGCTGAACACAAATCAAAGTCAATAAATCTAAATACGAGCATATCAAATATTTCAAATAACACAAAATTACCAAATATCACACTTCCATTGTTTGACGGCGACTATAAGAAATGGACAAGTTTTAAAAACAAATTCGAATCCATTATTCATCAAGACAATAACTTATCAGATGTTCAAAAGTTACATTATTTGCAATCATGTTTGAGAGGTGATGCTGGTAAAATATTGGATCAGTTGGAAGCAACAAACGAAAATTATGAAAAAGCACGCGAGATTTTGAGGGAACGATTCGAAAACACTAGGATAATAGTGAATAACCATTTATCTGCTATTTTAGATTTGGAATGCATTCATAAGGAATCACACGTGGCCTTTAGACATTTATTAGATTCTCTCAACCAACACTTGAATGCGTTATCGTCATTAAAGCAACCCATCGAGAGTTGGGATGCAATGCTAATTCACATCATTTCAAAAAAGTTAGACAATGCTACAAAAAGAGAATGGGAATTATCTCTCATAGGTACCCAGTTGCCGAAATATTCCGAATTCAAAGAATTTCTTACAAAAAGGTGCAACACTTTAGAAATGCTAATTCCTGACAATTCAAATTTTAAAAGTGCAAGTCAAATCAATCATGACTACAAGCCATATCATAGATATCAAAAAACATACTCAAATGCATCATCAGTACCAAAATGCATATTTTGTAAAGGTCAACATTATATTTATTTTTGTGAAAACCTCCTAAGGTTACCTGTTTCATCTCGAATCATTGAAATCGATAAATTGAAATTATGTAAAAATTGTTTCAACTCCAATCACTCAGTAGATACTTGTAGAACCACGGGCAGATGTAAGAAATGCAATGAAAAGCATAACACGATTTTACATCATGATCGTAATCCGACAAATTCTTTAATTGTAACAGAAGGAACTCAAGAATCTGAAGATATTTCGACAATTTCAGCATATTTTGTTGGTAATGGAAATGATTATGTTCTACTACCAACGGCAATGGTTCAAGTTCTTGATGAGAGAGGAAATACATATCAAGCCAGAGCCATGTTAGATAGTGGTTCTCAAAGTAATTTCATGAGTAGAGATTTATATTCAAAATTGAATTTACCAAAAACCAATATCAAAATGGAGGTTATTGGTATTAATCAAGTTCATTCCAATGTTTCTGGAAAAACAGTTGCTAAAATAATATCGCAGAACAGTTCATTCAAGGCAGAATTGGATTTCTTATTAATGGATAAAGTAACCACAAAATTGCCATCAATTTCTTTTCGTGCAGATACAATAAATATTCCTAAAAACATAACCTTAGCAGATCCAAACTTTCATAGGACAGGAAAAATCGATTTGCTGTTAGGTTCTCAGGTATTTTGGAATTTATTATGTCAAGAGCAAGTGAGATTAGGAAAACACCAGCCTATTTTACAAAATACTCATCTGGGTTGGGTGGTTTCTGGTCCATTCAGTCCTAAATATTGTCCAAATTCAACGTTCTGTCATTTTTCCACTACTAATTCAGACATTCACAATCAAATTGAAAGATTTTGGAAAATAGAAGATTGTGCATCAAATCCGCAATATTCTAAAGAAGAATGTGAATGTGAAGAATATTTTGCAAAAACTGTTAAACACGACCAAAATGGTAGATTTGTGGTGAATTTACCATTTCGGCATAATGTTAAGGATTTA